TTTGGCCTTTCTTCTGGTGAATTTATCTTAAGAAATAAGCCATCATATTGTAAAAATCTGTTTGAAAGTACAAACATTGTGATATTGTGATATTGTAAATTTAAACAAAGATCGAGAAACTTTTTGAAAAAGACCACCGTCTAAAAGAAATTCAGGGGAAATAGGCCTCTTTTCGCGGAATTTTCCTTTAAGGCAAATTATACACAAAGTATTCGGGCGGTATTTAACTTTTTATTTAATTTTGTATGCATTTGAATATCGAAAAAGGATATATGTAGCATCCATACCCTCAGAGATTCAATCAATAAAAAAATTTATTGAATAAATCTATTATATGGATATAATGCACGTACAAAGCGACTAAAACATTTCCGATTTGCCTTTGCTGACAGATCAATTAATTTCAATTTTGGGTGATGAATAAAAAAAAACCATTACAGGATTAAACACTTTTTTCAAGAGGTTATTGATGTGTAAACTGGGGCGATTAACTCAAAAACGGAATAAAGTCGCAAGTCAGAAACCTCGTTAGTGACTGTCTTTTGACATAGCTAAATTTCTTCTTGTCATTTGTTTTAGTAATTAAGTGTTGAAGGCAAATATTTGAAACTGATTTTAGACTCTGGCCAACTGAAAGCTTGAAATATTGAAAAGATATCCGTCTTTTATTGAGCTCCAGATTTTTTGTCTTTGGGTTGCAGTGTCATTACCATATATCCCATATCTCCTTTGTCAATTGATGCCCATGCTATTATATTTTATCGCTTTCAATTGTTAACATTTAATTTCTCCATATAAACATTCCAGCATAGCATGCATATTGAATAGATAGCTCCTAGTTGAAACGACATTCCAGGGCATGTGTTTCCTACTGTGATTTTCTTAATAGAGGGCTGCTGCTAACAAGGAAGATGTTGAACCAATTATTCTAAATGGTAAAGTTGAATTCGTCTTTTCGAAAGTTTTCTGGACGCCATCATGATTTGGGTGACCTGTATAGATTAATTTGTCATTTTTGCAGTCACAATCCCGCTCTCTAAAATACGATGGTGACATTACCAAATGCAGCTTATTCCCAATTTTGACTTGCCATGAGCAACACAATGGGTGCTATGAGTGGAGTGGGAGGAGCTGTCAATCCTTCTGGAACACCCAAGTTTCTCTTTTGTGTTTTTTTTTGGGGGGGGGGGGGGGCAGGGGTGTTGGTGTTGCTCATTATAATTTTCTGTGTAAAGTATCTTGAAATAAATTATAGAACTATCATTAGTATGCTAAAAAATAGAAGAAGCAAGTCGTGTACACCTTTTACATTCCGGCGTGTTTGAAACTCATGTTTTAATTTTAGTGTTTTGTGGACTGCTGTTTGACTTTTAGTCGTTTTTTTTACTGTGGTTTTTATTGTTTTTTATACTTATGTTTTTTTACTGTGGTTTTTATTTTTTTTTATACTTATGTTTTTACAATTGGCAAGTTGGTATCTTTTCCAAAAAAATCTGGAGCTCAATAAAATACGGATGTCTTTTCAATATTTCAACCTTTCAGTTGGCCAGTTGGTATCTTTTCCCTCTTTTTCATGGTTCAAAATGTACAGCAAAACAAAGGAAATTCTTTGAATACGAAGGTACTGTTTTAGTTAAGTTCTTTACTCGTGTCTCCTAATTGGAATTAGTATCCCCATTATTCTGTGAAATTCCATTGTAATCGAAATACAAACTTTGTGTTTTTGACTGTCTAGTTTCATTCTTGATCTAGTGTTTGTATTTCCCTGCGGGCTTTATGAAAAAAAGCCATGAGCCCTTGCTTCTTAAACTGACTAAATTCTTTTAAATCCGGACAGAAAGTATAGGTTTTGGAGTATCTTATCAGTAAATAATAATAACTAGTACAATCCAGATGTAATAAATTTATTACTCAAATGTGAAAAATACGATGTAAAACTAAATATGAAAACAAAATGTTTTTTTGCATTGCAATTTCTGATAATCTGGCACAATAAATAAATAAGATCAACTATAACATGATAAAGGTATATATAATGGCATAAAATGTAACATAGACACAGGCAGGTCTACTTTAAACCTTGATGATCTCTAAAAGTCGACAATGGGAGTCACACTATGTAAACGGTGTCCTCTATGAAATGTGCCTTCGCGTTCTCAGTGTACTGTGACTTCCATTTTGCAACACTAAACAACAATAACAACAATACATTTTGTTTGGTATGTTTTCTATGTCGATTCTTCACTTTTAATAACAGTATGTATTACAGACTGAATTGTGCTTACATTTGTAACATATTTACATAAAAATAATAATACAATTTAAAAGTATTTGGGTGTATTGTCTGAACGTTCGACGGCGTTCCAAGATTGATGAATCAATATTGAGAAAATCAATATTGATAAGAAAAAAATAAACATACCAAACTGAATGTATTGTTATTTGGTGTTGCAAAATGGAAGTCACAGTACACCAAGAACGCGAAGGCACATTTCAAAGAGAACATCGTTTACATAGTGGGGGAGCTGTTTGAGGATTTAACTTGACGGCAAAAGAGATGACTACACTTTTCTTAGTGTGAACTTTACATACTCATGTTGCAAGATTTTAGAAGCAGCTGTATATTGACTATATATCTCTCATTAGATACTATAATCTAGAGCTTGCGTTTCCTGTCTAGATTTCGTTGATAGAAGATTGCTGCATACAACAAACCTAATGAATTAGTAGTTACGTTATATCTCGTAAATCTATTTAGAAAATACAAACCAAGTGAAAGTAAGCCTGTGGGAATTATGTTAAATAGAAAAAGAGGCCAAACTTCTTAATGTTAAAGGTGAAGTTTCTTCTTAATTTTTACTTATGCCATCATTACTTATCTGTGACGTAATATATCCGTGATATGTGCCATTTGTAGTAGCCACACTCCCGTCCTCTCATCCTGATTAGTTTTATCACCGATTTGACTTATGACATGATTTATATCGAGGAGAGGGAGAGAGAGATTGTCTAAACTTTTTTCTTAGGTTTATTATTTTTTATAATTTGTGTAATTTTGGAAACATTTGTCGATGTAATACCTCCTTTATTCTGTGTCGTATTGACATGTTTGTATATGGTACTCTTTAGTGTAAACAAAACAGTTTTGGTTACTTGAATCTACGTACAAACAATTTTAATTTTCTTTCTTTCTGAGGTATATGCATCCTGAAAGCGAAAAGGGCGTTCTGCAGCAGAAAATCTCATAATCTTGATCATTAGTTAAACCCATTGGAGATTGTCTGTTGGAGAATATATATACGTCGACTAAATAAAACTTAAATGTTATAAAGCAGGTTAAGCATGTTGATTTTTATAATTTTTAGAGTATTATTGCTGCGGTATTTTCTACTGGGAGAGATTTGTTCTACCTAAGACATAAGTTATAACAAGATATTAATTGTATACACACGTTACTTACTTTTTTGAAGAAACAAAGCTAGCGCGTTTCCTTTCATCTAGTCTTTAGTTTTGAGTGTTATAAAAGATAAAAGAGTCAAATGTTTTAATACAGTTGTTGAAAGCGAAATATCTTTATCCCAAAATACCTGAAGGATTGTCTAGAATTCACATCCGTTTTGCAAATACCCTATTGCTTATATAACTTTTGTCACAATGATGAAGCATGATATACAAAACAATGTAAATATGACAAAATTACACAACTAGAAGAACATTTTAAAAAGGAGGAAGTCCATAAAAACTTACAAAACCAAACACTCGACTATATAACCAACGGAACAAGTGGAAAACAACTGTCATATTCCTGACTTGGTACAGGCATTTTACAAAAAAGGGTGGGTTAATTTAAAAATAAGGAGATGTGGTATGATTGCCTTTTCGCCAGACTCGGTGTTGTAAACAGTGAGAAAAACCTGACGGAAAACTTAATCAGATAACCGGATCTGAAAATTACTGATTGATTTGAAATCCAGAGTAATTACTAACCTTTTTAATTTGAAAACCTGCAAATATAAAGCGTAATTACTGCTTCATTTATCATATTCTGACAGTCCAAAAAAATAAAGCAATTACCAACCTCATTTTATTCACGAATGCTATTATAAGTATCAAGTTTGTTTTCATGGCTTATCATCGGGTATGTTTAAACAAACTGCTAAATGTTGTGCTGTGTTTGTTTTTGTTTAGAGACAACTGTCTAGTCTAACAGATTTCTCCTTTCATAATGACCATACAGCTTTGTAAAGTTCAGCACTCTCTCCATTCAGCACCGTTAATGATGGGTAATTATCTGACAATACATCTTTAATTGGTTAATCTTGTAATACACAATAATTTGTAGTTGGTATGTTATGATAAAAATGATGAAGATATTTCTTTTTATCAGCACATACCAAAGTTACCCCCTAACATCATAACATGGATCGTTTCTACCTAGTTACAATTAGAAAACCAATAAAATTATAGAATTGGATTTGACTTAATGGAGAAGTTCAAACTGTCGTCATAAATATGGCCAATTGTTCTTAGATACAGCCCTACTGGTGACATTCTTAGAGGGTAATTAATGGTCGCTTTATTGGTGTACCGTTGTTGATTAGTTCTGATCGTAATGTACGGTGTTTGATTAAATACCATGAATCATATCTAATGTATTCTTGTGCTTCTTGATTGCTTTATAAAAGATTCTCAAAGGGTGGTTGGATACAAGAAAAAATATAAATTACATTGTTACAAATATCAAATAGAGCCGCAAAATGTTCAGCCGTATTGGAAGCGTTACATAACTGACAATGTGTGAATTATCAGATCTGATTGTACTTTACAGCAACAAGTCCAGCACAAGCTTCCATCATATGGAGAACTTGAAACGTGAACTAGGTTAACCTTCACGGTGAATGTTCTGACGTACGATGTCAGATGACGAATATTACTAGAATATTCGTATATATATCTTGAAAATACAACTTATCAGAACAATTTAAAATGGATATATTAGAAGTCATTTTTTTAAAGTTTTTATACTTTTATATTTTCTTAATTAGCACAATAGTTTTATCGTTAGATGTAACAATTGACACAAACACTGAAACCATTGTTAAAAATACAAAGCATGGACGCATAAGAGGATTCATATCTGAAAGGCTTCCGGGTCATAAAGTTGAACAATTTTTGGGAGTGCCATTTGCGGAACCCCCTGTTGGAAACCTTAGACTTGAGGTAAGCTGTAACAAAAATATTTTGTCATTTTAATGTGTGCATAAATACATTTTGCATTGAAGGAGGTTATTCAAAATCAAGCTAAAACCAAATATTTTGATTTTTATTATGATCTTGCTGTTTTCCATACTTTTAAAATCGCAGATCTAAAGAAATCTTCCCCAAGTTCAGTCCTTTGATCATCTTTAGATATAAACTATATTACGTTATAGAACTTGCTTCAAATTTACTTCTTATAAATGAAATTCCGAAAAGTCAAACAAAGAAAAAAGTATCTAACAGTATAAATAAAAAAAAGTTCTTTAATACTGGGTTCATCATGCTTTCTTCATTTGAATTTACATTTTATAGAATCTTTATATCAATGAATAAAAATACTTGTGTTGTATGTGTTAATGTAGCAGCAACCAAACGCCAAAAATAACAAAAAAGACGTGTCGATGTCAAAATATTTCATAGTAAGCTTTTTTTTTAATAACTTAGATAGCCGTTATAAGGAATAGTACAAGAAATATTATAAAACTTTAACGGGTAAAATATTGTTACGAAAAAAAAGTTTAATACCATGCGAAGAAATAAAGCGGTGATACTTCTGACTTTTGAGTACCCACGGAATCATGAATTATTTTTTCAAATGATAAAATTATTAGTAACACTATGCAATGTAAGTTATATCTAATATATCGTTAAATACCACACAAAAAAATCATCATAGCATTCCCAATAAATCGCCAGGATATAGGGCATTATTTTTATAAAAACAGCGGAAAATACTCATATTTTAAATCATTTTCAGTCTCAAAACCATTTATCAATTAATTAAGCTTTCTTGTAGTGACAAACTTCATCTTACATAGTTTTGTGAAACAGAAATTGTTTTAGAACTAGTATTAACAAAATTATAAAATTTCTCCTGCAAATCATTATACACTTTGTGTAAAAAAACAATGTTTGCCTATTGGTTATTGCCCTCAATTTTCCTTTTATTCATATGGACTTAAATCTTCCCTCCTACATGAAAATGTATCCAATTGTCAACCTAAACGATAAACTATCCATAACTACATTTTTAAAAAGATCTAAACAGCAAATAGCGCTGCGCGGAAATTCGAATGTAACTCATACATAACGAAATTATGTTATCTTCTCATGTGTTGTGCACAAATCGAGCTATATGTAAAAATCTTGTCAACACTTTTGTCCCATATTCGTGCGGTTACATACCAAAATCAAGTTCTACACGATTCGATAGAATTGTCCGTAACAAAAATGCTATTAAAATATATTAATACCGATACCATCGGCCATAAGATGTGTTTCCATAAAGTACTCACAACTAAAAGCGTTGGAAGTCGAGATTCCATGACGTCTGACGAAATACCACAAATTTTACAGAGCAAAAATTAATTTTGTTAGAAGATTTTCCCGCCCAATAGACCACCTGAGGTACAAAACCGGTACTATGCATACAAATCCATTATGTTTAAGTATACATCAAACTATGGTCCTCATTTTTAAAGATCATCACAGGTTGCAAAACAGTAAATGTCCCATTTGTTTGTTTTACTTACAAGGTCAAAATCAGAGTTTTGTTCAATTTATTAAAAAAAATTGATAGTCTATATATTACACTTTAAACATTTCTTGGAAAAAAAATTTGATTTTGTTTTCAACCTTAATATTGCTGTTCAAGAAATTATGATAAAAGTTTGTTTTTGTAAAATTTTGAATCGAATGGCACTTTTAACCAAAAAAGTCTGAAAGGCTATACACATGTTACCTGAGATCACCCCCAGTTTTTGGTGGGGTTCGTGTTGCTTAGTCTTTGGTTTTCTATGTTGTGTCATCTGTACTCTTATTTGTCTGTTTGTCTTTTTATTTTTGGCCATGGCGTTGTCAGTTTGTTTTCGATCTATGAGTTTGACTGTCCCTCTGGTATCTTTCGTCCCTCTTTTACGTCAACCAGAATATGTTCAAACATTTGCCAGAGACATATATTTCATTTGTATATATTTATTTACATGTTTCGGTTTTGGTTAATAATGCCTTTTTTATACAATTTAGATAAATGCTCAAATATGCCAAAAATATCAAAAACTGCTGTTTAATTTGGTTGTGTAATTAGATATAAAGCATTATAATGTCAGAACCTTCAGATTCAAACTTGAAGTTGTGATACAGAGATTTATTTCCAGTACAGAATAAAATACTTTTTGACAAATTTACCTGGCTTTTAATAAATTCAAAAGAAATTGAGCCTAACTCACCTGAGATCATACTCAGGTTTTGGGTGGGTTCGTGTTGCTCAGTGTAGTGTTTTGATGAATTGTTTGTCTTTCCATCGTCTTTCATCTTTTTTGTCATGGTGTTGTCAATTTCTCTTCGACTTTTGAGTTATATTCCGTCTCATTTTTTTATCGTTTCCAACAGCAGCATATTTTTTTTTCAAACTTCATCTTACTTATATTCTTAAATGTTGAAAATAATGTTTATACACATAACTTTTCGTGAAAATATAGTAAGGAAAATTTCCGATTGTTCGATTAGTTCTTGAAATGTGTTCGTTCAATAGAAATGAGATTGTATTCTGAAATTGGTTCTGAAATATTTGGATAGTGTGATTAAACATGCATGAATTATCAAAAGTTGTATTTTACATCCAACATAGAGTGCAATGTTATTTATGGAAAAAAAAAGATTATAATTGATTTCGACATCTGAATGAAGATTATTTTTTTAATTGAAACATTACGTGACTTTTCTGTATCTAATCGGATGTACCGTGGTCAATATAAACTTATTTTTAGGCTTGACTTTCATATCCTTTAAGTAACTATGCGTATTCTTAAACACGGTATTATTTAGTACTAGTATTTGTTTGATTTGTACGTACCTATATTATAAAATTTTAGTATTTTTTCTGCAAATATAATAAAAAAAAAGTATAAGTCGAAGAAAACCCCCATGGCCAAAAAAAATAAGGAAAGACGGTCAACAAAACACATAGAAAACTTAAGACCACGCAACACGAACATCCCAGCAGTGCGATATTATCTAGAGTAAGCAGATCTCGGTTTACAAACAGTCTCTGTCGTGTGCAAATGAAAATTCAGTGATAAGTCTCATGCCATTCAGTGATGTCACAATCGAAAAAGGGGGACGGGATTGTGGCTACGACAATTCAGATTTTCATAACGGATAACCAATTCATGATGGCATAAGTAAAACTTTGAAAAATGTGACTTAAAATTACCCATAGGAACACGTTGGCTTAATAGCTTCCCTGTAAGCAGCAATCCTCTATTAAAGAATTCATGATATAAAACACTAAATGTGTAATATTGTATAAACCGGGAGATATAGTAATCAATAAGCAGACTCGTATTGTTACGTGGTAATGAAAAGTTCACAATAGAAAAGCTGACATCATCTTTGGTCGTCAAGTTTAGTTCTAACACTCATTATAAAATAAGAAGATGTGGTGTGATTGCCAATGGGTACAAATATCCATTTAAGTCCAAATTACGTGGACTTAACCATTTATAGGTCACAATTCAACCTTCAATAATGATGAAAAACCCATACCGTACCGTAAAGTCAGCTATTAAAGGCCCGACATGACAAAATATGAATAAATTCAAACGAAAAAATCCAACAGCATGATTTATGACCAAAATAATAAACGAAATACAAATATGACAGACAGCAATAAACGTCAACCAATGAGTTGCCGGCTCCTTAATTGAGACAGCACATATTGACTCAAGCGGGGCTAACCATGGCCCTCCCATAGCATGGGGCAGTGATGATACTGCACAACAGAAGAATAATCTGATAAAATCAGTTGGAAATGGCTTGACTCATCAGATTGGCACGAATCACATTAACACAAAGACAAAAGACCCAAAGTAGCGATCTAAGCTTACTTACAGTTACTGAAACCTACTTCAAAGCCAAAAACATTTAATGAATAAATCATGTTTTCCCAAACTAAAGTATCAATATCAGTGTACATCAAACGAATTTAGTGTAACAATCCGAGAAAGGCATGACCTTGTGCAATGCCAAAATATATAGGTACAAAATATCAACATGATATAGGACCATAAGTTTTCATAACTGTTTATACTGATATGGCAGAAGATACACACCAAACAGGATGTGTAAATTATTATATTTAGTTTGTAAACATATTTGCTAAGTATTGAGCAACAGCAAAGTATTGCACAACAGCAAGACATCTTCAATTGAAAATAAAAACAAATCTTTTAAACAATTTCAATGAGGATTAATTTAAAGTCTTAAATTGTTTTAGGTTTATACCATGTATTACTATATTGGATATTTGGACATTTTTAACCACCTGACAACATTTATTCTGTGTCAGAAATCTACAATGTGTCATATATTTAATCTCTATCCAAATTCAGAGCTGTATCAAACTTGAATATTGTGTCCATACTTGCCCCAACTGTTCAGAGTTCGACCTCTGCGGTCGTATCCAGCTGCTCCAGGCGGAGCGCATTTTTGTATGTTGTAAATGAGGTTTGTTCTGTGGTCATTGAATAAACATTCTATAGTGTGTATCAATACTTATAACGAAATCCCTACTATAAATTATTGTACAGGTTATAAGTGAATTTTAGTCAAAATTTTGTACAAATTGTAATTTGTACAAGCACTTTTTGTACAAATTACAATTTGTACAATGTCAAATTACAAATTATAATTTGTACAATTGTTTTGTACAAAATGATAACTTGTACACAACATATATAACAATACATATCTAGCTACGTTTTGATTTATCAAAAACAAAACCAATCATAGTACCGATAAAAACATTATAGCCGTATTTGGCACACCTTTCCGAATTTTCGGTTTATAATGCTTATCCCTTTGCATTTGACTTGGTATTCCTACTGTTTTGACTTTAGCGCCACTGATGAGTCTTATGTAGACGAAACACGCGTCTGGCATACCGATAAATAAGTCGGTAT